TGAGACAAGGTGAGACGTGGTCGAGACCAGTCTCAGAATGTATGTCCGGGTCCAGAAGGGCCTGGTTCGTAGATCCCATTGAACAGCCAACCTCGAGACTGCCAGACGCTCAAGCAAGTCGAGCCCACGTCGTAGTCGTAGTCTAGGAAGAGATTGAATCGGAAGTTTCCGGTACCGGCATCTACCATGATCGGATCAAATACGACCACGTGGTGTACGCTCACTTGAACTTGAAGCAAGCTTGAAGTGGAAGTTAAAGTAGCGTCTGAACTCCGTGAATAAAAATTTTGGCGTGCCAAGTTCGATTGTACGTCCGGGGGATGTTGTTGAGAGGGTGTGTCCCGGAACCAAGAGACTCCAAGTTGCAGAGTCCGCCTACATGTGGCAGGCACGAACGACGAGGGGCGGTGTCTACGTACCCTCACTGTCTGATGAATCGACTACGGGTCTTTCATCGTTCAACATTTATCTGGGTTCAGGATCCAGGTGGACAAACTTGGCAATGTGGGCATGTTGAACCGTGGGCGGTTGGATTCATTTGGGCGGTCGCTTGAACTAAGTTGTAATAAAGAGGGGCGATTGCTCCACTGACAACTGATCGGGTAATTCAGGAGCACTCGCACATAATCATCCACGTCAAAAATCGTGAATAATGCCGTTGCTAACCTGTAAGAACACGATCCCGGGTGTTGAACCTCCAAAGTTGCGCCGGGAAGGTATCTCGGATTTCGGCAGATCCATCCGTGGTGCCTGGATGCGTCGCCTTATCACCGCTATGCATGCCTTAAAAGAGTCCCGTTCCACCAAATTTTTCTTCACACACTACTCCCCAGCATGTTTATAATCTAATCCATCATCCTCCTCGCCGTCGCGACCCTCATGGCGTCGAGTCAGGTTGCGTGTGTACGTGCTTCCTTCTTTGTGCGTATCCCAGCGTCCGCCCACCGCAGTGATCGGCGAATGCGAGCCCTGCGTCATTCCCCGCGGCGAAGAGGGCAACGTCCAGGTTATTGCAGGGCGCGTGGAGCTCAGCTGCTTGCTTACAAAGGTCCTAAACCTGGCTCTTTGATTAGCGGTGTTTTCTGCACCTAGAAATCGGGATAGTGACATACTACCAAGATCAATATAATATCTGTGTTCGCAGCCTGTTGTCCATGAAACTCTTGCTTTGTACACTGTTGCCGTGGAGTGAATTATAATGGTTCAATATGAACCCGAGCTCCCATCGGCTTCGAATTATCTCAGTCTTCGCTCAGCATAAATCCAGGAATGAAGTGCTCGAATGATACGAATCCACTTCTGGTCGGACCGAGTCCGTCACACACTGGTGACCTTCTCTGTTGAAATGGGGCCTGTCACGCGTCCTCCCCCGTTTCCGTCTCATTTGCTGCAGACTCCCGATCACACTTATATTGCCTCGATATCATTACCATACGCTAGCTTGTATCCCCCATCGCACCCTATTGGGTATGAGCACTCGGGCACATGACCGAGGCTCGGGGATATCTCGGGCAAGTACGTGACTTACCGTGAATCATAGAGAATGAGAGAGAATGAGAGAGAACAGTACAGAACAGTATGGAATATTTATTATATGACTCAGAGTGACTCGGATAGACAGTATAAATACAGTAGGAAAAGACCACATAACCTTATGAGCTTGTACCACCCGCCCTCACGGGCATCGTGTAAATCTTATATTGATTGAACCGAATATTGTGTGAACTCAAGGATTGAATACCTTGAAGCAGAAACCCCAACACACCCTGTACCCCCCGTACCGTTCCTGCCTTATATATCCTTGCTCAGTACAACCCTCATATGACTGTGGACTTCCAACATTCTCTTGACTCACTGGCTGAGGCAGAATGCAAGGAGCACGTTATGATACCCCCCATATTCTCGTCCTTATCTAGGTTAGTGACGTTCATGGTAGGGACCAGCATGGATGACCCGGATGATCATCCGGATGTATCCGTACTAAGGCTCCAACCGTTTCGTTTTCGTTTGCGGTTTGGACGAAACCAAACGGAAACGGAAGGGAACCGTTTACAAACCGTTTAAACAGTTTGTAAACGGCAATTCTTTTGAGGATGTAACGGACTTCCTTGATCACGAATATAGCGGTAGTCAGCTCACGAGCATCCAGTTTCTCCTTCACTGTCTTAATCATTACCCTGTGCGAGGTGGAAATGGGGCGGATTCAACACCAGTGACGTCGCCGGGATGGCCGAGCACATTCGGAAATTGCCGATATGGGTGAATCCAGCCCAACCCAGTGCAACATGCTAAATAGAATGTTAATTGACCCTGTGCAGACTTCAACCCAGGCTTAGGACCTCGTCAAATGCCCAGAAAAATACTCCAGGTCTTGGAGAGGTCGGTGATCCAGTCAAAACCGTTTAACCGTTTGAAAACTGTTTTAAATTTATTTTCAAAGGTCCACAAACGAAACGGAAATAAAAACGGTTATTTCCGTTTACAAACGTTTGCAAACGGAAATGGTTGGAGCCTTAATCCGTACGAAGCGTTCAAGTGCGATGAATTGACCCTTTTCTGTTCCCTAGAATTTTCTCAAGTTGTCAATTCCATTTAAACACATATTCCTCACCCAAATTGGTGTGAAATCAGGTGAAATGCTCTCTAGTGATCCACAGGAGCTATTTGGATGATGTAGACATCCAAGCATTTTTTTCGTACATATTATCAGATGAAAAGCTGTTTCAATGCACGGGAACCAGTAGGAAGCGTGAACCGGCGGAGGCCATCCGTACCTCATCCGTGGGAAAGTTGTATCCGCGGATCGGCATCCGTACGGTGACGGATCGGATACGGTGTCATCCGTGGGAAGCCCTATCCGTGCCGGTCCTTAGAACTTCATGGTCATGAAGTTCCGCACCGCACAAACGCACAGTTATCCCTCGTCCCACCGCGCATCATTTCGCATTCGTACTCATGCTAAACCAGGCCTTATTTATAGTGCCTCTTTAGTTCAGTGGTAGAACGCATCACTCGTATTCTCATGTACAGCAGTAAAACCGCCGCCGCAAGCACGCCGTTTCCGAATTTTGTTCTCATAGCACCAAGCAATATGCGGAACGCGCCGCGGCATACAAAGACGGTCGTCTAGTGTGGCCAATGGGCAGGATAGGCAGGAGATGAAAACGAGACGATCCAATTGAAGACGCCAAAATTACAAGAGGCAGGGGGAGTGCAGCACGAAAAGGTTGTACAAGTATTTGTAGACTACCTTGACGCCGAAGCTGGGCAAAAAGAGAGCTGCCGGCGGGCGGCAAGGACTAGGGGTCTTATATGCTTCATAAAGTGGGATGGATATGGAACACCATGGTCACGCTTGGAGCTTCTGCACCACGTGTTTTAGTTTCTCCGTAAATTCTGCGATGCGATGGTATAGCTCCTCTATTAAATGGTCACCCAGGGTTGGAAAAAGAGATGGAAGGGAGTGTGCGTACGGTTATCTCTCATCCCCTTGTATAAATCGTCCAACGCCTCCTCCTCCCGGTGCTCGACGTCGTCTTGTGCGGCTTTTACCATGGCGAGGCCACGGGCTAGCCAAGCGTAATGCTCGACAGTGGCGGTGAGCAAGAGGGTCATGAGGTCTGAAAGACTGCAGTGAGCACGGCGGGATGATCCAGAGGGTCGACGACGACGCACCCCTTTTAAACTTGATGTCTGCCTGTCTTCCGGACTGTGCGACGTCCTTGATGGCGGCAGTAGACACTCGAAGGCTCGGTTTTTTCACATACTCCTCCAGGGCGGCGAGGTCAAAGGTGTCACTGTCTTGCGACATGGAGGGGCGAAAGATGGTGTTTGCGAGGGCATTTTTTGCAAGGGAGTTCCCACGTACGTAGTCGAGCGCGGGCGACAGAGAGGACAGACGATGTCGAGCGGACGAATGTTGCGGACGAATGCCCTGGAAAGTGGCGCGTGTTGACCTTTGTTTTCCGTTGCTCGTTTGTTTTCCTGAGCGTATTGACCTTTGTTTTCCATTGCTCGTTTGTTTTCCTCGGCTTTGTTGACAGTTGTTTTCCTGGGCTGATCGGCAAATTCTCTCCGAGTTGATCGAGAAAAAAAATGCTGGCGCATGGAGCGGCGGCGGATGGAATGAACGAATGGAATAAAACCACAGCGTGGCCTTGTGTTTTCCTGAGCTAAATCGGCGACGTTTCTTGGGGTGATCGGCAAAAATGAGAGCATATGAACAAGAGGTTCTAGTAGGAATAGGCGGGGTAGTCTGCGAAAATGTTAGGGTTAGCCCGGGTTATCTGGCCAGATAACTCTGCCTCCAAGTCATGCCATATAGTAAAATCAAGGAAAATGAAAGAGGGAGGTGGTAGTTTAAATGAAGGCTCACGCCGCACAGCAGCCGGTACTTGTCTGGAGCAGAGTAACGGGAGTAGGAATGAGTCGAGGATGGGTCGTGGATCAAGGATACGTATCGGGGAGCGTTCATGTGTGTAAAACATTCTCGCATTGCGCCCAGGCCGCATCACAACTTGCAAGCCAAAAAAGAACATGAATAATTCCCACAGAGTTGCGTCCGAGGTCCATACCTGGGGGCAGGACTGCCAAGAACCAGCACAAGCACTGCGTCCCCATGCAGTGGCCACCTTTGACATCTGACAGATGGGGCTGGTTCAAAGTGGTTGGGTCTCAAGAATTGCGACTATACTGTACTATTACGACCGAAGGTTCAAGTGACGGGTGACGGAGGGTTGTGAATTGAATGAATTTGGTTCCGGTGACGGTGACATTGAGGATTTGAGGCCGCAATAGGCAAGAAAATGGCAAAAAAACTCCTTCCGGCATCCGCCGGACTACCTTATATGGAGATTTGATGGCTGATTTGTCAGAATGAACCTTCAGAAAAACGAACTTGTTAGGTGATGGGTGACATGGTGTGAACCTTTGGTCGTAATAGTACAGTAGTGATTCCTGTCGAGCTGCAAATTGAAGGAAATGAAAAAAGCAATTATTGTAGCCTACTACCCGGTTCGAACGAGTGCCCTCGGCATGGTGCACGTACGAGTGCCGCGCTCTACCAACTGAGCTAAGGAGGCGACCGTTGCCTGTACACTGAAATGGATCTCCCACTTAGGAACATACACTCTCCGCTCAAAAACAGATGCGTCCCTTGGCTCAGAAAGAGTCTGGCGCAAAAATAGCCCTATTTTTGCCGACTCGCTCAATGGACGTGCCGCTTGCTCCCTCCATTCACTTTGATCGCTTCGCTCAGAATTGCCCACCTCCTGGCCCAGTTGCCCACCTCCTGGCCCAGCTGCCCACTCCTGGCCCAGTTGGCCCCCTCCCGTCGCCTCCACTCGGAAATGGACTTGCCGCTTAGGAAACATACACTTGGCCCCGCTCAAACACAGTTGAGAAAACTCGTGTTGAAGTTGATCGCTTCGCTCAGAAACAGTCCAGTCCCCCTCGCCTATGCTCGGGCGGCACAGCAAAATTCACTCGTCAGGGGTTATTTTCCATTTTCGCCGACTCGCTTAAGATAGTGCCGCTTCACTTGCCCCCCCGCTCAAACACAGTTGAGAAAACTCGTGTTGAAGCAGATGCGTCCACTTTGATCGCTTCGAACAGTCTGGCGCAAAAATAACCCCGACTCGTATCGCTCCCTCTATTCACTTTGATCGCTTACAGTCTGGCGCAAAAATAACCCCGACTCGCCGCCTTAAGATAGAGGTCAGTCGTTCAATCCGGCTAGGAGGCATACATTTTGTCCCTCTATTTTTTTTAGCTAGATGGTCTTCCCTTTAGCCATACATAGGTCTTTCCCTGTCAGAAGTCACCGCAAATTTCCCCTCTCTTCCCTTTGTGCAATTTCAAGGGCCCGGGACCCGAACCATATCTTATCCGCTCTTTCGTGTGAAATCCAACCTGCCGATATTAGCGAGGTGCACGGTGATCCGCACTTCGGAAGGTGTGTGGGTCACTGCGAGGCGAGACTGTTATTCTTGAGCGGTGGCCTCACCTAGGCGGGTGCATGTTATTACCTGAAGTAACGCAAGTGGTGTTAGCGCAATGTAGCAACAGCATGATCGCTATTCGATGACAGGCAGGTCTTTCCTCTAAATCTATCTCGTGGAACGTCTGTGAGCCCATCTCTGTTGAATGCCCTTCTCATTGGAGCGAGTGAAGGGTCCGATTTGTCTCTTGCCTCTCGCATCCGTGATTTCCACATTAATGCGCAGGTATAACGCTGCGTAGCCTGTTGCTAGCGGATGCTGCAAATAACGCGCACAGAGCCACTTAATAAAGGATTTCGGTCCCTCGTGTTCTGCCGGGGAAGGGTCAATGCAAAAAAAATAGCATCGTTGGATCATGGGATTTTCTGGAATCCAGGTACAGACAGGCTGCTTCAGAGCAACCGTGAGAATTCCATGACGGGAGAGGCATTCCTAAATTAGCCGAAGAGTTCTGCGGACCCACCGCAACAGAGAACATTATATCACTGGGCGTGCCAGGCAACCAGTGGAAGACCGCGGTGAACGCAACGGGAAGCCGCGTTGTAGTCAGCAGGTCGTACAAGTATTAGGGAATGTAGTGAATCTTGGTGAATCTGGGTGAATGCGGTCAAGCAAGCCATCAACATCCAACGAAAGTGACTGTGGGATAATCCGAGGGCAAGAGAAGACGACCATGTAGCAATAATGATGAGCGCTGATCCCGATCAAAAAACACGGGTCAGACCGGCCCTCAGGCTTGCGCGTTGGTTGCGCGCGTGCTGCGTCGATCTGGCAACAAGGCCCTGAAACGTTCGCTTCGCACAGAGAAAGGAATGTGAGCGAGGTACCATGTACCTCGAAATAGGTTTGCTGTGCCTCCGCTCGATACACCGCCAAAGTGCCGTCAGGCCAGATGAAACGATCAGCTAGATACTAGACACAAGATAGATCCTCGCTTCGCTCCGGATTTGAATTCCATGCCAGCCCCGATCACGAATTTGTGGACCGGACAACGTGGTTTGACCCGTTGATCCTCATGTTCAAGTCAGATCTGGGTCTGGATCTCTTCTACTGCATCAAATACATTAGCTAGATCCGAGCTGCACGCCCGGAGAGTATGGAGATTGAAGGGCAGAGTGGGAAATTTACACGGACTTGTGTTTTCAACGTGCAATTGGTGATTAGCGATGTTCAATTAGGATCTATGCCATAATCACATTCAAATCACAATGCAGAAGCACCAGTATATCAGTATATTCAATGGGCGTACAAAGTATCTAGGGCGAATAAGAACATCCGCAGACAGGCCAGACGGTTGGATGGCTGTGATCAGCCGGTTTAATGCAGCGGCGATTACCTGGCATAACACTGGGGACAATAAGCAATATACAGACCCTGCATATCCTCAGTATATCCTCAGTATTTTACAAAAATCCCCAGAATATACCCCCAATATACAGGGTCTGTATATGCTCAGTATTTTGCATAAATCCCAAGTAAATACCCAGAATATCCTGGGTCCGGATATACTCAGTATATTAGCTAATATCCTAAGCATATCCTTACAAAATCCTGAGTCTATATATGGTAGCCATCAGACCTCAGTATTTTGCAAGTATATTGCGACCAAACAATCTAAAAAAAGATAGGAACAATTGCTTAACTGAGGAAAAACTATTCTGAGATGGAATTACATGCTTACTAATTGTGAACATAGATAGCCCTTTGTGTTTTGCCACGATAGACAGCATAGAATGGGCCCTTCATTGTGAGGAGCTCGTTTATTACAGTTGAATCCATGATTGCCTTGGCAAATATTTCTGGTTTTGAGTCCACCTCGTGATGATTCAGTCCCTCAAACACTTGCTGTAGATTCAGCATATGTTTTCCTTCTTCCTCACTGGTGCACTTGATAATAATGGGCATAACTGGAGCAGTCCGGCTTTGGCTTAGAAATGGTCTAAGAGATCTCAGATTGACTAAACAGGCTCCAACGGTGCAAATGGAACTCACGGGATCTGGACAACTGCAGGGTTGTCCCCACCAAGAACGGCATAAAGTCTTTCCATTTTGAATGAACACAAGGTGAGATGAAAGAAAGGGAAGTTGATAATATAACTTCTCCTTATGTCTGATTGGTGTGACAATCAGATCAATCTTTTTTTAGCTATTTCCTTCATGGGACAGTGTTTTTTTCCCTTTTTTAGATTGTTTGGTTGCAATATACTTGCAAAATACTGAGGTCTGATTGCTACCATATATGGACTCAGGATTTTGTAAGGATATACTTGGGATATTAGCCAATATACTGAGCATATCCAGACTCAGGATATTCTGGGTATTTGCTTGCGATTTATGTAAAATACTGAGCATATACGGACCCTGTATATAGGGTGTATATTCTGGGGATTTTTGTAAAATACTGAGGATATACTGAGGATATACGGGGTCCGTATATCGCTTATTGTCCCCAGTGTAAGTGACAGCCGGAGGCCAAGAAATTGGATTGAAGAAAGCATTCGAGCAGGCTCAGAACAACTGATAGGATGGCGGACCAGCGCCCAGTGGAGACCCGAGGATGGAAGAACAGCCACTTGACAGCGCGGAAGAGTTGCGTTGATCATTTGCCGTATATACTTGAGAGTTGATGGCAGAAGGACAGGCCAAACAGTAAAACAATGTCGATCGGAACAAATCAGTTGGAGAGGGGAGGTGGTGATTTTTGGGACGTAAATGTGGCTCTTTATACCTGGTGAGGGAGTGACGTGGCCGGAGCTTGAGATATGCGTTGCCCTGCGCCACGGTGAGAAAATTGTGTTTCCAGAAATAGAAAGAATAGCTGTTGAGCCATAGAACCTGTCTGTTTACCTTGAATGTCCCAAAGGGTGCATGACTTCCCAGAGTTGAGAGGTCAAGAAGTGACGGAAATTGCGGGGACGGTGTGAATACACTGTGGCACAGGATGAACCGCAAGTTCCGGGCACGCTGCGTAAGGCTGCGTATATTGAAGCGCAGTTTGAGCACAGTTTGCACAGGTCATTTGACGTACATTAATGGGGACTTGGAGAGAGCGAGAGCAGAGGGGAAGGAACGCGGAAGGGATATATGGGGCAAAAGGCAAACATTTGCAAAGAATCGAGGTCCATCTCGTTAAAGAACGGTTAATTTTGTAGTGCGCAGTTCGATTTAGCATGGAACCTGGTGGCGTCGGCCATAGGGGGAACGGAAGTCAGGGAATTTGCGGCACAGCCCGAATTCACAGTGAGAAGCTTTGGAGTCTAATGGAGTTAGAGACAGAGGCGGGGCTGAAATTGAGCAAAGGGCGAAGAATAAATGGGGAAAGAGCACAGCCGAACGAGCATCTGCTTAAAGAACGGTTAATCACATCAGCTGTTTCCAGCCCCAATGGGGCTGGAATGCAGCTGAATGATCCAGGCGGTATGCACAGCTGGCAATAACATGGACAACCAGCTGGGAGCTGGCTTTTCTTCATCTTCACAGGTGTGGGGCGGCCCGGGTGTCATACGCAATTACATAAGTAAAACTACACAATTGTCTTTCACATCCTTTGTATTCGGTTATCTTGGTCTTAAGACATCTTAGGTTTAGTGGGGGCTTTAAACATTCAGTTTGAGGTTAAGGCTTTGATGCCAGACTGCTTGGGACTGCCAGTGCCTCGCTCACGAGTGCTGGTCTGCAATTCAGATTTCAGAAGAAAAAAAGAAGAAAAGAACCTTGGAAACTATGCTAATTGTGTCCACCCGGAAGAGGAGATGAAGAAAGAAGAAAGCCGCCAGTTCGCAAATCGTAACTGCAACGGCTGCGGATTATCCCAAGTCCCACATCAAAATCCACGCTTGACAGATCAAAACCACGTGAGCGCGTAAAGCGGTTCGTTTTGATGCCACGTCTTCCTTCGTCCCCCCACATCTTCTCCTTTCTCATCACATCCTTGTTCCGCTGGCGCCGCACTACCCACACCGTGAGCTGTCCCAAGAATATTCAAGTCCTTATAAGAACCCAACCAAGCCCAACAAGCCCCCCTCAAGCCTCCCGCATCAAGCCTTTGCCTCCACCTCAAACTTCAAACCACTCAATCCCGC